AAATAGAGCTTATATAGGAGTGATAGGTGTCGTATTCCTATAGGTAGATGTGATCAGCTGAGAATCAGCTGATGCAAGCTTGACTCACGTGACCTGCCAGAACTAACGCTAACGCTTAATTAATAATTTTGTATGAATCCTTTAACTATTTGCAGTGTATCCCGCCTTGTCTCTGTCCTGTGTGAAGAGGCCTGATGGATCTCCCATGATTCTGTGCTCTGTGGAATTTTACCACGATTCACTTGAACAGTTGTGGATCAGAGACGGTGACGTCCTCAAAAGCTCATACTCAAACAAATCATTCAATGGATTCTTCAGTCAGCAATCATACCTTATAATACCACCACAAACCTTCAATGATACAATCTACTCCTGCTGGGTAAACCACTCGTCCTTAAACAAACCACTCGTGGCCAATTTATCAAGTTCTGTCTGTTACGAAACTGGGGGTAAGTTTAGAGCTGTTACGTATTTCTTATTTCATTGTGTTATATACTGTATTTTTGAGGCCTTTGCAATTATTCTGTCTCGTAGGTGTAACTGTGACTGTGACAGTAGTGTTTGTCATGTTGACAGTGGTGTTGACTGTCTTTTTGATCACTCCAGTCATATGTAAACATTACAGTAAGTCTCAGTGTTTATGCTAATGGTTTGTTTATTCTGATTTAAATGTCATTCTGAAACGTAAACTGTTTACATCCATTTTTGCTGTTAAAAAAAAAAAGACTGTTAAAAGTGTCTTGAGTAATATACAAGCGACATTTCATCAGATATCAAGCGATATGTAACTTTATCACATTTTAATTTAAGTAACGTCCCTTAGCAGTCGGAGTGAGTCACAAATCTCCCACGCTTATTACCAGTTCTTGGTTTTACTGGTAAACCTTAACAACCTCAGTTCTGTCATGACAATTCTCCATATAGCCTGCATCATCTAGAGCAGTAGTTCTCAACCTTTTTTTCCACTGGGCCGCACTATGGTCCAAATGCAAGTGTCACGGGCCGCACGCATAACATTTACATATTATGTCACCAATACAAACCAACCAGATTTATAATAGACTATTATAGCATAAATATTATGATATCTAATCGATTACATTCATTTATATAAATAAATAATTATACTCACCTTTAATAAAACACCTGATGCTGTCGGGAGCTGACCAGTTTTGTGATGACTGGACGCGCGATATTGCGGAAAATGTGCGTTCACAAATGTAGCCTGTGTTGATCATATGGAAAGCACTTTCAAATTTAATAATCTGAGGTTCTCTCCAGACATGTTTTGCCACATTTCTGCAATTAAGGATGATTGCTGCATAGTATTGGTGTTTCCTTTTGCTTAAACTAGCCCTGCTTCCCTTTCATGGGAACTTCGAACTGCGTCCTCTAGGGGTCGCTATGGGGGAATGCGTCATCGTGACCCGTGTCTGAAGCATACATTGAAAAAAAACACCAACTCGTTGGCCGGCGACAGCCATACTGAGATCGAGAAGGAATGGAAGAGGCCGTTTTCCTCACGCATCCATCGGTTTCAGCATACCAGTTATGCAAACATCGAGGCAATGCGCGACAACGGCTATGAGAGAATGCCCCCTGTAGAAGAGATGCTAGCCAGCTATCTCTCTAGGGGTGAGACATCGTCTCTCAAAAACAACCCAGGGGTCCTGGCCCATCTCGGTTTGAGGATCAGAGACGAGCACAGAAGGCTAGTGTCGCGACTCGCGCTCCTCCTCCACCTGCGGGTAGGGGTAGGAAGTATCGTGGGTCAACGGGAGGTAGGCAAGACCTGAGGGATGAGATCCAGACAAGGCGTCAGCGATTTCGTCCGGATCAGAGTAATACTTAGGTATCCACTCTTTTTCCTCAGGGGGTGTAACATCTACCCCTTTTTCTTCCCCTTCCTAATTCCCCTGTAACCACCATCTCTCCACCTGACCGAGGTTAGGTAGAAGCTTCCTGCA